AACTAAGCAAAGTATGAAGAAATAGAAAAATGTCCCTAAAAACAAAGAAGAGTGCCAAACTGCTCTGTGGTATCAATCCTCCTATATGGCAGTGAATGACAATATCATCACAGATGAAGAAACTTGAAGAAATTTGTGATTCTACCAATGAATATTAAGAATACTATGGATATGTGAGCTACAAGGAAATGTTAAATAAATTAAGAACCACAAGGAAACTTATATTTACAATCAGTTATGAACATAAACATTTGAATGTTCGCTATTATAGGCCTAACTGTCCCAAGAGAAATAACTTTAGGGAAGCTTTTACAGTTACCTCCCTTAGGAACAAAAATTTTGAAAAACAATTTAATTTCAAAATTTGCATTTTTTTCTTTTGGATCTTTATTTTAAAAAGGAATAAATTAAAATTTAAAATAACTTCTTTTTCAGGAGCAAAATATACAATATAGTCAGTCATGTAGGGAGATTTTCAGTAAGATATTACATTTCAAAGAAAAACAATATAGGCTTTATTTAATCAATTTATTTTAATCAAGTTATGTCAAAACAATTTTATGTACAAGTATATAAAGATGCATACATTGCTTTAATGATGATTTGATATGAGAACAGTTGTATGTTAATCATTGACGCTAAAATATTTTTTCTGCTACACATTTGATCTGTTTTAAAACTGAGAGATTCCTGTTTATATGATAAAATAAAATCTGCACATTTTCATTTTAATAAGATTATTATGTTTATGTTCTTAAGGAAAATGTAAAATATGCCTAACCATAAACTCAAATGCAATTGTTTTCTAACTACGTGTGTGTGTGTGTGTGTGTGTGTGTATAAACTTCCAACGATTTTTAGTGGAAACTTGTATGTGAATATGTCCCATTTTTCAAACTGTGTATTATGTCTACCAGCCTACTGCACTCAAGAGAAAATTAACAAAGGAAATGTGCCCTCCAGCAAGTTTCAAACCTGAATTCCCTATTATAGGAGGGACTACCATCTAATTCAGCCTACTTTAGACAACTTTGCAAGCATCACACCCAAGCAAGGTTTGATTTACTAATGCACATTCTGTCATTCAGATTTTCTCAAAGGTCTATATTTGCTCAGTTTTGTATCTGAAACATAAGCAAAATTAATGGATTTATTTCCAATCCAAGATTTTTATACTATTTTTAGTTGATATCCATAATTGAGTAGACACTTCATTTTTAAACCATATGTATTAGCCTGCATGGTCTAGAAAACTTAATAAAATATGTCCTCCATCAGGGTTTGAACCTGCATCCCCCTTTGTAGGGGAAACCACCATCTAATCTGACATGCTTTAGACAGCTTGGTCACAGGGAGTGTCACAACCCAGCAAGGTTCTATTTACTCTTTTAAGGAATGTACATCCCCTTCTTCAGATTCTCTCAAACAAAGGAGAATGCAGCTTTGAACCCCACTGAAAGGCATATTTTGTTTATTAAGTTTTTTTCAAGCATGCAATCCAGTAAATGTAATATACTTTGTTTTAAAAACAGGGTGTCTACTCAAATATGTGTATCAAATAAAACTAATGTTTGAAGTAATAAAAATACCAACTTGAAAATAAATCCATTAATTCTTTAGAAATTACACACATGTAATTATGTATTTGTGTAGCAATTAAAATGAACTTTATATGAAAATATCTTGAATGATATATATTATCTGTTCTTAATTTCTATTTATTTTTAGGACCAATTTTTATTTATTTTTTTATCCTTTTGAGTTAAGTTAAAATCAAAACATTACATTTTTTTGCTTGTCCAAAGCATTAACCATTTTAATAAAAATATGCAAAATGTTAGAATAATATGCAATCTTTCAAAGTTGAAATGTTCATATATAAAATAGAATTTCTGAATTAAAATCAATAGAGAGAAATATAAAAGCAGCATCTTTAAAAACAGACAAGCTGCTGAGACATGAATTTAAACAACTTATGGACAAACTGATTTATCAGAATGATTAATTATATTAATCAGAAAACTGGCAAAACTCACAACTTCAAAAATATTCCAGGTATATAAAAAATCTTGTGTGAGAAATAAAAGTACATAGTACAAATAAATTTTGTAGAAGATATGAGTAATTTTTAAGGCACATGTATAGCTAAATACATACACAATAATATATATATATATATTGTTCACTCTCACCAAACAGAAAAATGTAAGAATGCTGGAAAAAAAACTAAATAAAAGTAACATAATTTTCTGTCATAATTAACGAAAGATGTTTAAAAGAAAAGTTGCTGCCCAAATATACATTAATGTGTGTGTGTGTGTGTGTGTGTGTGTATATATATATATATATAAATAAAAGAGAAAAGGAAAACTTTTCTATACCAAATACATTGCTAAGTTTTCTTTTTGTCTTTTATTTATATTCTTGTTACAGATATATTTTATTTATATCCGATTTACAAATCTATGTTACAAAACTAATAGTAGGTTAAGCAAATGACAAAATGGAAAATGCATTAGTTGTTCATTGTAATAAGTCCGACCATAATTTGAACTTAAAGAATGCAGTTTTAATTAAAAATGTAAAGTAATTTATTAAGGTGAAACTACTGAAAGTGTACTAACTTTGAAATCTTCTAAAGGTAAATTTATGTCCAGGTACATACAACATATCCACTTTCTCCCTAAAACTACTGCTGGTATAATGTATGTTAATTAAAAACAATAGCAATAAAAACAAAAGTGACAAAAACCTGAATGAAGTCAAACAAGTTAAAACATCTTTATATCAGGCATGAACAATTATAATTTAAAGCTGAACATCTTTGAATCATGTTTTCAATGTAAAGCTGCAACCAGCCTTTGTTGTACTTATCATACCATCGATATAATAAATGCGAATGTCCATGTGTATCACACTTTTTCAACTTTTGCTTCTAAAGGCTATAAGCCCAACATATCATACCATTTTCAAATCAGGTTGACTGTAAGAAAATTAATAACATTCTGGGCTGTATCCAGATCCACAATCCTGAAATTTGGGATTCCCAAGTTTTCATTGCTGCAGTTAATTTTTTATGTGATTTTTGCAACAAATTTTTTTGTATGAAACAATTTTTATAACTTGGAAATAAATTTGGGAATAATTGAAATTAATTGCGAAATCCAGCAAAAGTCACCTATGAAATAAAAATAATTGTTTTTACAGAAAGTAAGGACCTACATACATCAAATTATCTTTAATTTAAGTGGTAGCAAAAGAATTATCGTTGAACTTTTAAAAGGTAAGCTTAAATATTAATGCAGCAATCAATTTTGAGTTTTTCTGTAGTTTATTGTTACCTAACACATACAGCAGCATTATGCTTTGCAAAAAGCAATCTCCACCATCAGAGGGACCAGATTACAATCAAAAGAGCCAAGGCTGCAGTGAGGAAAAGAAAGTCTCATGCAAATAAAAACCCAGATCAAACGGCAGCCAGAAGAGCTTCCAATGCTGAGAACATTCAAAGACTTACGGACTCTCAAACTCTTGAATAAGCTGAAGGCCCTATCCAGAGCCATCCACAGTAGCTAGCTTAAATTCATTTTCACTGACAACTATTGTATCAACATATTAGTTATAATTGTCAGTGAAAATGAATACACTACCACCCCTTATTAAAATGATTAGTTTTCTCCGTTTCCATAGAAATTAATATTACAAATGTATATGCTTATAAAACTCCATAAATTTCAAACTTAGTTATTCCAAAATTCACTTGAGGAGGAAACAGAAATAGGTATTTTATTTTAATTTCTATAATTAAATTTAAGTTTTTGGCTTCTGTTTTTGAAACATGAGAATATGTAGCCATGGGATCATATTTTTAAAAAAAATAATTATAATATATATATATATATATATGAAAAAGAGACAATAGGAAAACTGTATACCATCCTTTTTCTACAGATTAATTGAGAATTGTTTACATATCTTTCTCTCTCTCTTTATATATATATATATATATATATATATATATATATATATATATATATAGAGAGAGAGAGAGTGCTGAGGTACAATGCCCAAGTGTGGGAATGGCAGGGTCCTCAGTTAGTCTGAGTTGGGATGACAGCCAGGACAGGTGATCCCATCAAAAATTTTTGTTACACTAGAAATATGGCATGCTCACTCATGAATGGATCCTATTTCTGGAATGATAATTGTCTGTTATCTGGAAGTGGGCCAACTGATGTGAATGATACTCCTGCACAATAAACAATCATTGAAGATGTGTGTGTGTGTGTGTGTGTGTGTGTGTGTGTGTGTGTGTGTGTGTGTGTGTTTATATAATCTAATAACCATTATTTGTCTGAAGAAGTTCTTTCTCAGAATGGATCATATCACTAAGAGGTTTTCCTATTTTGTCATTCGCATTTATGTGCACACACACACACACACATATATATATATATATATATATATATATATAAAATATATATATATAAAATCAATCTTACTAAATACTGAATGTATAAATATTCCATTAGACAAAATTTTAAAATATTTTTGATTTTCTTAATGAAAAGTATAATACTGTTTTAAGGCAGACATCAGTCAGTCTATGAGAAAAAAAAGCAGGTAAATTGAAGATAAAGATCTTACTAGAGGTACAAAATTAAATTAATGCAATAAAAAGAGACATAATTAAAAAGGACAACTTCAACTACATTAGTATACAATACAAAAAGAAAAATACCTTCAGGATGAGTTGACCCGTTATTACTTTTTTACTTGTCAGAATTCATTTGAGGTGTATGCAATATTCTAATTGCCTTGATCTTGATCTGACAAGTGTGTAGCAACAACCAGTTAGATCATTCTTTAGAGTTTTGGGTTTCAATTTTTCTCATGTTGCCAACTAATGTAGTTGAAGTTTTCCTCTTGTCCCTTTTAATAAGGTCTCTTATTGTATTAATTAAATTGAAAATACCCAATTTTGCCCCCCCTTCCTTACCTCAAACCATCAGTTCATTTATTTTATTGTCAATTTCAACAATATCTCCCACATTAACTTCTGCCCCACTCTCACCAAACTGGTTTTTCTCTAGCAAATTATTCTCTTCATTATTCTTTTCAACATCATCATCTTCAACATCACTTTCTGAACTTTGTTCCGAACTATGTTCTGATCTGTGTTCTTCATGTACTCTTTTACTGTCATGTAGATTGTCTTCTTCAAGAACTGGACCATTCAGTATAAGGTGTACATCTTCAGTTAAATCTTTTGGTTGAGTTTCTATAGAACTGTCATTGACACTGTTTGTACTGATTTCTTTTTCAAGTATCTTGTCATTCTTGTGGTTTTGGCACAACTGTGAATCAAACTCTGTCAGCGCAAATGCCCCGTATCCCCGATGAGAGATGAATGGTTGAACTTTAGGCAATACTGGGCGGGCTAGGCCAATTGGTTTTGTATTGAATTTCATTCGAAGTTCCATCTTGCTGCGCTCAACTTCAACCTGACGAATCTTTTCCTTGGCATTCTGAAAGAAAGGAAATGTATATAAATATATATATATATATAGAGAGAGAGAGAGAGAGAAAAAGAAAGAGAGAGAGAGAAAAAAAAGAAAGAGAGAGAGAAAAAAAGAAAGAGAGAGAGAGAGAAAAGAAAGAGAGATTGAGAGAGAGAAAAAGAAAGAGAGATTGAGAGAGAGAAAAAGAAAGAGAGATTGAGAGAGAGAAAAAGAAAGAGAGATTGAGAGAGAGAAAAAGAAAGAGAGATTGAGAGAGAGACAGAGTTATAGGTATAATAGGACACAGATAAATATAACAAAAATCCTCAGAAACAGTATAAAATAAAAAAAAACAAAAAAAAAACTTTACATCAGAAGTGAAAGTCTACCAAATAAATATAAACAATCCCCCCACCACCACTACCAAAAAATCAATCAATCAAGGGTGACCACATAGAATCATTGTAAATTTCATGATCCTTTCATAAGCTGCATAGTATGTACTTCACCAGAGTGACATATGGTTGTGAATTGAGGGTTGTCCTAGACTTCTATGATTAATGTACAAGTAGGCTATTTAAGTTTATCACCTGTTCTTACTAAATTCATACTAAAACAAAAGTGATAAAATAAATTAAAATAAGAACTGAACTGAAATTAGTTGTAATATACACATATTATATTAAGTAAAAAATTATCCACTCTTTCACCATACATAACTTTAGGTTTGTCACACTGCCTTATGCTCAATTGGTGCAATTAAGCTCAAAGTTTGATCCCATGACCATAGCATGTTGAAAGTGCAGATAATTTTTGACTTACACTTTTGTAAAATAAGTTTGCAAAACACCTGCAGGCCTCAGGAGACATGTGTGTCCATAGAAACTGAACCCTCATTTGATGAAAAAGTACACACACACATATATATATATATATATATATATATATATGATCAGGTGTGCCTGTCTGCTTGTCCACGTAGGGCTTCTGGACAAAGTCCAAATAATGCCTTTATGCATATAAATATATATATATATATATATATATATATATATAAAAATATAAATAAAATATATCTGTAAAGACACTGAATAAATGACAAAAAGAAAGCTTTTCTTTTTTCACAAGACCTCTAACATTAAATGTCCCAATGTCAAAATCTTTATGTGCAATTGGAGGCGTTTAAAAGAAATAGCCAACTTTTAATGGCTGACAACCAGAGATTTCTTTAACACAGAGTGAACTTCGCATCAGAAGTAGCTGTCTACTAAATAGAGTGTAAACAATGCTATCAAAACATAACAGTGATACATGCTGAAATATAAAGAAAAAAATATATGGACATAAAAGTGTCATGAAATTAAACACAATGTGTTTGTACACTACTGGAAACTTTGTGATCAAAATCCAACCAGGAAAATGTTCTTTTAATAAAAAGTGGATAGAATTTATCTAGGCAAAGATCCATTGTAAGTGGCATAATCTATGTGTCCCTAGGATTAATATATGACAAGACTAATTCATTTTATAATTAATGTGATTTATGATAACCATTTATCCTCATAGATCTCCAAAGCATTTTCCTTACACACAATTTTATCTTTTCTTGCATTTTAAACTGCAAAAGCGAAAGAGATTTATATCCTTCTCAGGCAAAATATGTCTTTCATACCATTTTCCACTTTGTCTCAGCATCTTCACTTTTGTTTTGAATACTGTTATACATCCTACAAACAGACATTCATTTATGTGCAAATACTCTTGGAAAAAAGGATGAATATCTCTTTACAAAGCTATGGATAAAAAGTATAGATTGTGTCCTATAGCCTTAATTGACAACCAGTCCAGTAGAAGGTTTGAATTCAAAACCTGAGGAGGTTCATTTAGAGATTTCTGTCATACTTTCTCTTGAAAAAAAAAAAAAAAGTGATTGGTCCTGCAAAAGCCTTCATCACTCTAATCAGATGATATATGTTTGTTTGGTTCTAAGAACCTTCATACATCAAAAGTGACAGAAGTGTCCCATAATATATATATATATATATATATATATATAAAACTGGAAAGACAAAAGGAGAACCTTCTATGCCAATGTGCTTTGTTCCTTGAGGAACTTTATCAAGGCAAGTATAGAAATTTTATTTAATAACTTGGATTTATACACATAATTAACATGTAGAGAAATAATATTAACATTATTTCTCAACTTTTCAATCAGAGAACATTATAATATTCTGAAAAATTCCTGTATAAAGGAAAGGTAAATTATGGAGGACGTTAAGTGAAGTAATTTTTAGCGTATTACACATAAAAGGTGCGATGGGTAAATTGTCGCTGTTTTAATTTTTTTTTTTTTTTTTTAAATTTTATGCATGCACGTTATTTATTTTAGATTTTACTGACGGCACTGTATAGTAGGGTTAGTTGGGCACTATCTGTGAGAAAAAGAACTCCATGATGCAATTTACTCTGCCAGAAACTTGGAAAAAGGATGTTCAAATACAAACATTTCAGAGTGTTTGGGTGTCAATTTTAGAACAGTACAGAGGATCGAGAATGAGTTGAATGAGTCTAATAGTGATTACAAAGGTATGGTAGCTCAGAAAAATCATTCTGATCATTCTGATAAAAAAAAAAAAAAAAAGAAAAAAAAAGAACTCCCAAATTTGTTGGTGAAGCCTTCATACTCAACACAAAGGCCTATGTCAAGTGCCTTGAAGAGGTAATGCTGCTCTGGATCAAGAGGGTGGTTGCTAGAAGACCCTATGTCTGGCAACAGGCCTCTGCACCATGCCACACAAGCAGGATAACCCAGTCATGACTGTTAGACAATTTCTGCAATCACATCATCCCTTATATCTGGGCACTTAACTCACCAGACTGCAGCCCGCTTGATTATTATGTGTGGGATGCAGTTGAGTGAGAGATCAACAAAATTACTTGTAATATCAAAGATGAACTGAAGGTAAGGATTATGGCACCATTCACCAATTTAAACAAGGAGACCATCCAGAAGAGTTGCAGGAGATTCTGAAGTTGTCTGGAGGCCGTGGTTGAAGCCAACGGGAATTTTATTGAATAAATTTACTCTTTAGTATTTCAAGATATTTTTGTGCAATTTTGGTAAATATATCTGTTAAAATGAGATGTCAGTGTTATTTTCATTTTTGCATAAATTAGACAATAATTTATCCATTTTTGCATAATTTAGACAACAATTTAGCACACTATATATATATAATTTTTCTCATATTCTTTCACATTCAATAACATCTTAAAGGCTTTATTGCCTTGCTTAGGGTGAAATGATTATATATATATATATATATATATATATATATATATATATATATAAAAAGAAGAATCAAGAATGAGCATTTGTACAGACTAATATAAACTGGGGTGCCAAATAATCAAAACTTAAAAGTTGATTATTGGATTTTATCAAATTGTCCAAATATCTTATTGTGACCCCCCCCTCCTATATTTCCTTAATTTTCTATTAGCTTTCACCCTACTCAATACATTGATGAAAATTTTGTCTGGGAAATGTACTGTGGTGAGAAACCGTTGCACTGCAAACTTTATTTAAATCTATTTAAATTATAAACTCTAGGGTTTCCTCATTAGCAGAAGAACAATTTGTCATGGTCAGATACAGGCTCCTTAGCTTCATGTCTAGATTCAGGTTTTTCTTAACTGTCTCTTGTCAATAAAAGCAATGGGGGGGGGGGAACCAGCAGTCAGTAGTGGGCAGTTAGCAGGACTTGGTGTCTTGTGAAGTTGATCCTTTTGACATCAAGTTGTTGTGCCATGTTTTCTGAGGTAGTTTTATTTTGTTACCTCCCATCGCTTTCCCTTCTCTGACTATTTCCACTCCCCCACCCTGCACTTCTTGTGTTTCCCCCAAGCTCAACACATCCTTTCCATTTTTTACAAGCTATTTTAGCACTCATGGAGAATGGCTAATCATCAAATTTGACATTTCAGACTGAAGTCTCTCTATCGTTGGATGGTTTGAAAAGGTTGAACTATAGAGAATGGCTGAACACTAGCAATGTTCTTTGTGCCACAGGCATATATCTTTCAATATGGATCTGGCTCACTCTAAAATCCAGTGCATCCATTTAAGCAGAAGTTGCCTCCTAATGTGCTCAGGCAAACCCAGTACAAATGCATATGCAAGTCCACACTCAAACACTCCACTGTACAAGATTGATAGCCTGCAAATTTCTGCTAAGTACATATCTACACAACCATTTCAATTCAAGTGCCTAATGATGAACTGGTCATATGCTACAAATGGATCTAAGGTAAAGGCAATGTACAGGACACCCACACCTTTTCTTTCTTCCTGGCTGAGTTGTTGGAACACAGTAAACATTCCAAATGAGCAAAATATTTTTCATTTCATTAAAGCATTTTAAGATATTATTTTTGGACATTGTTGGTTATATATTATTTATTTGTTTTTTGGCCATTAATAGAAATTTATATTATAACATTGTCAAAGCTTCGTGAAATTATTTTTGATTTCATAAAAGCATTTTACTGGAAGTTTATTTTTAATTTTATTTCTACAAAGTTTTATCATAGTTTGAAAGACTTGTTTTTCATCATTTCCCAACAACCTCATTTATTAAATGTTCTCATTTTTCTAACTCTCCTGTTCATTAACTCACATACAGAAACTTCATACCTTGTAATTTTTCTGATTTTTTCTGCCTGCCTCTATGACAACCACACTTTATTTGGCATTCAAAAATACATAAATATGCTTATGTATCTTGAAGAACTTAAAACAGTTAAATAAAATTGTACTTATGAGTTTCATTTTAAATTAAGTTATGGATTAAATAGAGGCACAAACAGGATTCTCTAGCTATGGTTGAACAATTCTAAATTCAAAACACAGTAGCCCAGGAAGAATATATACTTGTACTGTAACTAAAATCCACTCACAGGTTGTGTCAAATAGGCATGGGCAAATGAGAATGCTTGGCAACAAGCAGTTGTGCTGTAGATGA